CTTCTGCTCATCTCCATCCTTAGTCTTTTAATAGCCACTAACAGGACCTGGGGCAAAGCTCCATGGTTCAGCCTGTCTCAAAGAAAATACTGTGTTTACCAATCTCAGCTGATAGCCAATTGAGATGAGCACTGGGGATGTGGGAATAGATGGAGGTCTCTTCCCTATAGCTACTGGGGGAGACAGATACAAGTTACTATGAATTGTAGGGAGTTGTAATAAACATGCAGAATCCAGAAAATGTGCCTAATTTTGCCCGAGAGGACAAATTATAGGATGTTTCCCTGAAGACATGAAGCTTGTACTAAGACTTAAGGAGGAGCAGGAATTTTTCAACCCAATAAGGAAATAAGAGAATTCCAGGAAGAGGGAATAGAGTATAGGGAGGTAAAAGGATTGTAGAAGACTGGCATGTGAAAAAAGGGTTTGACTGGAGAGAAGGGCAGCCCAGGATGGCCTCTGTGTGATATGCCAAGGTATTTGAGACCTTTAAAAACTCATAGTCTAGGGCTGGCAATGTGGCTCAGTGACAGAGTGCTTGCCTGGCATGTGTGAGGCCCTGGTTTCGATCCCTAGTACTGAGGGGGGAGGGAAGAAAAGCTTAGCTTAGGATAAAAAATTGTAATGCATCTAGACAATGATATATTGTTCAGCACTAAAAAGAAATGAGCCATTAAGCCATAAAGAAGACAGGCTTGGTGGCAGGTACTTGTAATCTCACCTATTTGAGAGGCTAAGGCTGGAGGATTACAAGTTTAAAGCCAGTGTGGGCAACATAGTGAGACCCTGTCTCAAAATAAAAACTAGAAGGGGCTGGGGATGTGGCTCAGTGTACAGCACCCCTAGGTTCAATCCCCAGTACTGCCAAATTTTTTTTCCTCATGAAGAACTGTGGAGGAAACTTCAACACCCCCAGACCACAGCCATGACCTTTCTCCCCTCTGCCTCCTGCCCCCATGTTTCCTCCCCTGCAGGAAGTGTCAGGCTGAACCCTCAACACCACCCTTGGTGATTCATGCCTTACTCCTGGGGTCAGGGTTGAGGGGGCTGCTGCTCCCTAACAAGCCTTCTCCACTCCCTACCCAGCCAGCCTGTGTCCTTTCTTCTTTCCATTCCTTTTATTCTTTTTGAACCACTCCTCTTCAGGTTTGTGACTTTTGTCTTCAAAGTCTTTGTCTCTTCTTTCTTTCTCCCCCCCACCAAAGTACTGGGTTTGAACCCATGGGCTTGTGCATGCTAGGCAAGTGCTCTACCACTGAGATACATCCCCAGCCCTTCTTATTTTATTTTGAAGCAGAATCTTGCCATGTTGCCCAGCTGACCTCAAATTGCAGTCCTTCTGCCTTAGTCTCCTGAGTTTCTGGGATTATAGGCATGTACACTTCTTTTTTTTAATATATATTTTTTAGTTGTAGATGGACACAATACCTTTGTTTCATTTGTATGTGGTGCTGAGGATTGAACCTAGCACTTTCCATATGCGAAGCCAGCGCTCTACCACTGAACCACAACCCCAGCCCAACATGTGCACTTCTTTGTCTTCATTTTTAAAAGAAGTGGAAAGGAAGCTTAGGCTGTCGGTTCCCCTTTCTTAGCAAAATTTCTGTGGATCTCCACCATGTGGAGGTAGAGCTGTGTTAAGTTTTCAGGAAAGCCTGGGGCTCCACTCCCAATCCACCTGGGACCCTTAGTCTTTTTGGAGACGTGTTGGGACATTCCTGATTCCTTTGACCCCTATGTGGCCTAGGGAATGTAGGTGGGAGATCTATATAAATTTGTAAGACAGATAAAGTGTGAAAATTTCAGGAACCAATGGTGACCTCTATTATCTCTGGAGTGGTAGAGAATGCAATTATTCTCCATTTCTTTCATCTTTTGGAAATTCCCTCTCAAGTCTAACTGTAGGTTATGCTGTCATTGTCTAGAGTTGGAGGATGGCTATAACTTCATGATTATGAAAAAACACACAAGGAGCTGGAAATCAATTACTTGAGTCCACCTTACCAGAAGTTCAGGTCCCTCAACAACATCCTTACTCACTTTAATCTCTCTTATTTACCAGATGAGAACACGTCAGCAGTCACTAAGAACCCATCACAGACACTTCTAGTGCTGATCCTGGGCTCCCCCATATCCTGGGAGGGATTGAGGTGTTGTAACTGCAGAAAGGAACTGAAATTTAACAGGGCTCAGCCTTATCGATCCCTGGCCTCCAATCAGGGCAACACTTGTGACATATGTAGGGAGATTAGAACCATCTGCTCTCCCCATCAGGGCGACAGTGAAGGTACCAGTCACTGGTACCTTCTGACTGTGCCCTAGTTATTAACCCAAAGGCTCCTGAAGTACATTCAACTGTTATTAGGCTAATGTGGGGGGGCCAGTTTCCAGTTGAACCTCTGCCCTCCTGGGACTGTACGGTAACTCAAGGTGATAGGGTGGGGCACCATGGGAACCTGCTCCTGGACAGCCATTTGCTTTGGGAGCCCTAGGTTGGGACACTGCCTGCTTTCTCTCAGGAGGCATCCCTGCCTATCAGGTCACCAGCATTGCCCTCATACTCTCGATGCTCTTTCTCACCACCTGGTGATGTTCGAGGTGCCAGCCAGCACCCACAGTTGTGGGTCAGACAACCTAGTCACCTGCACAAGGGGGTGTGTCACCTGGGCTACATTCCAGCAGTCTCTCTACCAGAGCCAGTTGACCGGCAGTGCCCTCTGGTGGTGCTGGGAATGGGCCTGGGACCCATGGCCATTTCCAGGAATTGGTATTGGCTCTGGGTTTGGCTCCCTAGAATCCTCTGTTGGCCAGGCCAGGGAGCTCTGAAAAACCTCATCTCTCTTCAGATGCCATATTACATCTCAGGTTGATGCCAAGGACTACCTAGGCAGCAGGTAATTGCTGGGCCTAGAGTCATACTTGTCTTTCTTTTCTGAACTGGTTGTCACCCAGGGGAGTTGTACTGGGCTTTTGGCATCCCCCAACCTCAAAGCCATCACAGCTGAGCCCACCTCCTCTTCTGGACATTGGAGGAATAGGAGGGGTACAGAGGTCAATGCAAACTGGGGACACCGAGAGTAGAAGGAGGGATATCTTCATAGTAGGGGATAAGTATGGGAGGAATTCCAGGAATTTTCTCTTTTTCTGCACCATCTGTAGACTGACACATAGAGGAGTCATGATTTGTATGTGGGTTGGGGGGTGTGGTCAAGCCTTTGAAAATTATGGAGATTCTCCCTGGCCTCAGTCTTTGCACATAAATCATAGGAAAAATCTGAAGGCATCAATAAGAAGAAGCAATATCTTCTTAGCAGGCAAATTTCAACAAGTGCCTATAGGACACAGGATTCAAGTGTGGCCCTGGACAAGTCACTGGGCTTCTCTGACCCAGATAAACTTGGATCTTCTGGGATGCTGCAGGTTCAAACCAGCAGTTGTTCAACTGTTGAGGGACATGAGGAACTGTGAGTTATTGGGTCAGCGTGGAAGCATCTTGGATTCCCAGTGGTTCTTGGGTGGGGGTTGGAGGCAGGGAACCCTGGGCTGCCAGAGGGGTCATGCTACTTCAGCACTGAAGACTGGACAGCGTCCACAGCAAGTCCATAATGCTGAAGATCATCACTCCCCACTCAGAGGTAGAAGGCAGATTGGAGCTTCAGGACCTGGGCTGTGAGTGAGTTGGGCCCTGTCACCTGTGCTCATAGGGTTTGGTCTGGAGATCCAGGGGAGTTAGACTCTTTCCAGGTATCACATAAATAACACTTTAGAGTGCTTCAAATTACAAGACTTTTTACACACGATCTCTTTACCTTACATAGTTCAAGAAAGTAAGCCTGAACATCCTCTTTAATAGAAGAGGGAGCACAGAGGGAATAACCAATCCATCTAAGTCACACAGCCAAGGACAAGTTTGAACCAAGAAAACTTCAGCACTTGCTGAAGTTGTACCAGATCCATCCCCACACATGCAAACTATGGTGAGAATTCCTTATTAAGGGGGGCACCAGAAGCTGAACAGCCAACATAGAAGAAAAGTCCCTTGGTGGGGATGAGTGTGACTTAAAGCCCTAGGAGGGCCAATCTGAAATTAAGGTGAGAGCCATGGTTAGGCTGGGGCTCACACTGGCTTTGAGGAAGAGGACCCAGGCTCTTAAAACAAAACAAAAGAACCCCATGACTGTCTCTACCTGAAGTCTGTGATGGCATTCAAGACCCATCATAGTCCATCCATCCAGACTAAACTTCCCAGCATCCACTCCTTTGGGCCAGAGGTCATCTGCTTTCTGGTCAATCTACACTGGGACTGGGGTGAGGCAAGAGAGGAGTCGAGGGGCAAATTTCAGAAACACTAATTCTCAGGTTCGTGCAAATGCAGATCAGAGGAGGCAGGAACCCAAGAATGAGTCTCTTCTCTCCTTCCCCCAGTTTTGCCTTCATTATAGGCCTTAAGCTCCTAGGGAACAGAGACCGTCTTCTAACCTCTGAAGGTCCTCAGTGCCTCCGCAGAGAAGGTCTCACATTTAGAGCCCTAATAAGCAATTTTCAGGGCCAAGCCTCAAGAAATGTCTTTTATTCCTTTAGGAAGAGTGTCCTAGGATGGGAAGGGCAGTTTCCTGTGTGCTACATGAACCAGTCGATTCCGGTTTGATTGCCAGAGATGAGATGGACAGGAGAACCCAATGTTTGTGTAGGAGGTTTAGTTCTATTTCTTTTTATACGCGTGCAACAATCCTATAGAGTGATGGTGACTTGATCCAAGCCACACAGCCTCGTAAGGATAGGGATAGGGCTAGATAATAAGTTCTTTGACGACGAGACCTAATCAAGACAAGACCTGGTGATAGCTACTTGATGCACATCGAGTATATCGACGCTCTACTAATGAGGACTGGACGAGTGAGCAGGATCCATCCATTGCTTTTGACTGCCAATAAGTGCCGAACGCTGATTGGCTCTGGTTTAGAAAACGAGCGGAAGGGCGTGCGCTAGGAGCTGCTGCGTGAGAGGGGCGTGAGCCAGTTGGTCTGGCGCCATGGCGTCGTTCAAATGCAGCACCGTGGTGTGCGTGATCTGCTCCGAGAAGCCCAAGTACCGCTGCCCGGCCTGCTGCGTGCCCTAGTGAGTGGGGAATTCTTGGGGGTCGGGGAGCGCGAGTGTCCGGCCGGGTCTGGGCCGGGCTTTGCGGGAGGGGCCGTCGCCTTCTGGGCTGACTCGGGCTGTGGTCTCTGTCGTTGCAGCTGCTCGGTGACCTGCTTCCAGAAGCACAAAGGTAAGGCCCGGGTGTCTCCGCTTTAGCACCTGGCCTCCTCGTGTGTGGCACCCCCCACCCCACCCCAGTGCCTTCAGGGGGACGTGGGCCTCAGGCTGCGCCTCCTCCAGGCCTTGCAGCGCCGGATCCGCCCGGAGCTCCTCAGACCTCCCAGGCAATTCTGTCTCACTCGGGTCACCATTTGTTCTGTGAGAGCCTTGCGTCCTCAGTCTGTCTCTAGTGTCCTGTACCTCTCCTTGTGTGGGGGGACCCCTGTAAATGCTTTCTCGGTTTTTAACAGTCAACCTACTTCTATCCTGGCTTTATTCCTACGTGCCCACTGTCGTTTTCTTTTTAAAAGAGTCGACTGCTTTAAATCTCCAAAATTGTGATCTAAATAAACCTTTTCTAAGTAAAAATCAAACAAAACCCCCTAGACTGCTTTCGTAGCAAAATCCTACCTAGCTGTTCTTAGCATGCTAGCGTGGCCTCTCACCGTTTGGCAGAAGCTTCTCTGCTGAGGTTAACTAGAATGTTTCACTCTCGCTCTTTTTTTGTGGTTCCGGGGAGGCGAGCATGCAAGGCAAGCACTCTACCAACTGAGCTTTATCCCCAGCCCCAGTTTCTCTCTTTTAAATAGTGAGACATTGGTGGGGGAAGACAGACTTCCTGTGGGGGGCATTCTTTTGCTCTGGCTTCCTCTTGTGCTCCAAGTACCTGCCAGGCTGCCCTATCAATCAGCTGGCAATTGCTTATCACTATCTCCTAATTCCTGACTCTGCTCTTTTCTGCCTAGGCATAGACATTTTCCTCTGCCAGTAATGCTCTTCTTTCCTCCTAACGCTTCTCTAAGAGTCATCTTGGTGATGTCTCTTGGTTTTCTCAGGTGGACTTAGACCAGACCCTTCTTCTCTGTGTCTAGCTATCTCCCATGACTAAAGCCTTCAAAGGTGGGAGTGGTGACTTTCATCTGTGTATTCTCAGTGGCACTGGTACATATAAATTTAACATCTGAAATTGCTGAGAAAATCATGATGCTTATTGAGGACACTGAGCCACTTATCAAGGTGAAAACCCTGTAGATTAGGGAAGGAGAATGAGAACATGTTCTTGAAATGTGTGAACACAGCATCCTTAAGCCCTTCTGTTAGGCTTAGGGTTTTTCTCATCCTGTCCCTCTGATGTCTCCCTTCTTCCACATCCATTTCCACCCAGTACACATGCTTCTCCCTTGGCTTGGTGAGGAGGTGCAGCCTTATCACTGAAATAGAAGGTGTGTATGTCTGAGATTTGTCTTTTTCAGAGCAGTGCAACCCTGAAACTCGTCCCATTAAGAATAAAAGATCAGCTGCTCCTGTGAAAACTACACAGCCTGAGGAAAACAAAGGTGTGTTGTTTGGATGATTGATTTCAAACAAACCTAGAGGAGTTTTCAAAGACAACTAATGGAAAGAAATGAATCTAAGACATGGGCTGCAGAATGACTTTGTTAGGGAGCAGCAGTCTTCTCATCCCTGACCCCAGGAGTGGGTCATGAGTTGTCATGGGTGGTGAGAGAGCAGCCTGACACTTCCTTCATGGGAGGAAACCCAGGAGCAGGAGTCAGTGGGGAGAAAGGCCATGACTGTGGTATAGTAATGTGAGGTGGGTTCTGCTGGTAGAGGCCTTTTCTTGTCACAGCTTTGGGTTTCCCTGCCTGAGCCTTCAGTTAACCTGAGCTAGGCTGAGGCAGGTGGTTTCCTTTGGTTTGGGTCACTTCACTGCTGCTTGGGACTCCTCCTGCTGTGGTAATGGGCTGTCATTCCATCTATCCTATCCATCCATGTAGAATTTCCTTCATATGTCCTGGGTTATGCATTGTTCCAGGCCTCTGGTTCCATTAAAGAGGTATTGAAGATGGATGGGCCATCTCTGCCCTTTGGGAAACTTCCTAGTTGGGTTTAGGAAGGGCCGGTAATTTCTGCCTACGTGGAAGCTCAGGGACTTATGTTTGGCAGGTTTTTACACATCAGCTAGTTCACTGGCCCATGGAGGTGGGGTGTTAAGAATTAAAACACCAGGTTCCAAGCTCAAAGACCAGAGGGAAACATAGTTTAAGTGCTAGGATACATTTAAGTAAAACCACCAATTTTTCTTTCACCTGCTTTTCCTTTTTTATACAAGAGGAGTATAATTGTGAATTCCAGAGATATTTTTATTTATAACTACTTGTATACCCCATCACTATTGGGTATGCACTTTTTTTTTTTCCTTTGGGAGTGTTAACGTCCGATGAACTGGCTTCGACTGTTAAACAGATTATGTTGTGTGTTTCTTAGATGATGACTCCTCTATAGCCGATTTTCTTGATAGTGATGAGGAAGAAGACAGAGTTTCTTTGCAGAATTTGAAGAATTTAGGTAAGTCTGTTCTGTATTTATTTCCTTGTTAATCATTGAGATAATTTTATTGTATAGAATTTTTGTTTTTGGTTGTGCTGGGGATCTAACCCAGGGCTTGTGCATGCAAGGCAAGCACCCTCCCAACTGAGCTGTATCCCCAACCATCTACCCCCCTTTTTAAAAACGCATTGGAGATCAAACTCAGGGACTCACTCATGCAGGTAGGCACTCTATCACTGTGCTACACCTCCAGCCCTAATTTCCTTATTATTTTTTGAAATATGACTTAAGCTATTAAAAATGGTGTGGCATACAGGGCCTTTCCTTTCCTTTCCAGCTGTACAGTTCTGTAAACCTGAATGATTTCACATTTCCTGGCCTGTCCACAATGCCCATTGTTTCTTTTGTCTAGAATCTGGTATTGCAGGTTGGCAAAATTCTGTCCTTCCTTCAAAGTACAGTTTAAGTTTTCTTGGCTCAACTAAGCTTTTCTTGACCCATGTCTCTCAGAATTAGGCACTTGTCTTTGCATATTGCCTTGAACTTATCAGTTAATGTACCACTCATATTTTATCTTATACATCAATTTGTAGGGCAGGGACCAGTATTTCCCTGTGCTGGATTTATAATCCATTCCTTAGTGCAGGCTAGTAATCACAAGATTAAATTTTCAGGGGGGAAACAGGTGTTAATAATGTACATTTTGGGGGGCTGGAGATACAGCTCAGCAGAACACTTGTCTAGCATGTGTGAGGCCATGTGTTCATCAGGACTATACACATGCAAAAAGCGTGTAAAAATAGCACATTTTTTGTAGTACTTCTTAGTCTACTATTTGTATGAGTTCTATGTATAATTAATTTCATTCTTTCCAGTCAGTCAGGCTAATGGGTTGGCCTTAGCACTTGATACCACTGTAGTGATGAGACAGTTGTAGGGCAGGGTTTGGTTCCAGCAGAAATCATCTCTAGGCTAAATACAATAAGTATACATCTCTAGATTACCTAATACAATGTAAATGCTGGATAAAGTTGTTATGCCGAATTGTTTAAGGACAAGGAAAGTCTATATTTGTATAGGCAAAATTTTGTAACCGAAAAATTTTAACATTTTCAACCTGATTAGTTATATCCATGGATGAGAAACCTATGGAGCTTGGGGTATGACATAATGGTTTACAGGGATGCAAGAGTTTATTACATTTAAAACATTTAGCTTTCAGCCATCTCTACATGTTCCTACTTGAACTTAGGCTTTTTTGTTGTTCTTTTTTAAAGGGGAATCTGCAACATTAAAAAACTTATTGCTCAATCCACACCTTAGACAGTTGATGATCAACCTCGATCAGGGTGACAACAAAGCAAAGCTCATGAGAGCCTACATGCAGGAGCCCTTGTTTGTGGAGTTTGCGGACTGCTGTTTAAGAATCGTGGAACCACCACAGAATGAGGATTCTTAAAATGCATTATTGTGCTCCTTGGTCAAGCACATGCCTGACTCCCACAACTACCTAGTCTTTGCAGGGGGGTGGGTCAGGAAGCGGCTAACGTTGTTGGCCTTCGAACATGGAAGGTGGCTTCCCAGATGCAAGCTGACTGCTGAGGTTGTGCAGGTATCTGTTTCTTGACAGGTGTGTATGTTTCAGGCCATGGGGAGTACTCAATGTAGCAAATCCTTTATGAAGAGAGCTTGACATTCATAGGGTTGTTTTCAAATGTTTTATTTTTGGTACATAACTTATTTGTCATGTTTCATACTTATTTCAGTTGAAAACTGATCAGCGTTACTAAGTAAAATCAAGATATGGTGGTTCTCTTGTACATTGCATTGTTCATTGTCCTTGGTCCCTGCTTTGATTGTTTGAAATTAAATAAGTCAACAACTTATTAAATAAGGTTGTTCCTTTGAGGAACTAAATGCAGTTTTTCCCAGCCAAAGTTCTAAAGCCCATGTTAGTTTAAGTTTGCCTGTTTTCTAAAGTGCTTGTGGGTGATTGGGTGCCCCACTGTAGTGACAGATCAAACTCCAAAACAGCCTCATCTGCTACCATGAAGTAGTGAGTGAAATGGTAAGTTCTCTGTGGCCTGAATCCTGGCTTAATCACTAGCAACCCTCACACCTCTCAGTGCTTGGGCTACATACCTGGGCCTTGCAGCCTGGAGTTGTTTCACGTGCATACATTTACAGTTGCTGTGGGATAGTTTGGCAGTTGTGTGCTGATTAAATGTCTTTGGCAAGGCATCTGGCAGGAAAAGGCCTCATGGAAACAAAGGCACTACAGATCACTTAGCCAGGTAAAAGCAGAGGGTGAGAAGAGGTCACACATGGATTGGCCTGTGTTTTTCTAGCAGAATCTGATTAAAGCCAGTAACACTAAAGGGTGAAGGTTCAGGGCAGGTGTCGGCGTAGCGCAGTGGAGACTTTCTGCAGTGAAACCTTATCGAGCCCTGGGGAGAAAGAGATTTAGCTTAGCCCCAGCTCCCAGGAGTGCCAATGTTAGAAATGTGAGGTGTGGACAAGTACTGGTCTGAGGGCCATACCAGTGGCAGGACTTCGTTAATGTATTTTTTGTTTTTTAATTCTGAAATAGAGTCCAATATCTCATTTCACATCCATTCAGTATGGGACAGATGAGGAAACCCTAGGAAGGGGTAGAAGTTATCACTTGTCACATTCCTATGACTGCTTCCAGCTGGAAGATCAAAACATTTACACTTCTGTTTACATTTATGCTGGCCTGTGAGTTTTCATGGGAGTGAAACTCAGGCATTCAACCAGTGAGCCACATCCCCAGCCCTTTCTTGTATTTTATTTAGAGATGGAGTCTCACTGATTTATTCAGTGCCTCTCTTGCTGAGGCTGGCCTCCTGAGCCACTGGGATTATAGGCATGTGCCACCATGCCCAGCTTCATGGGAGATTTTATTCAGATTATGGCCTATAGTAATTCCTCTGCTTTGGAAATTGACAAAGCAGAAGGAAGGAAACAATTTCGCTTACTCCTTGCTGTGGCCCATTCAACAGAGTATTAACCATTTATAGATGAAGAAATGGAGGCTCTCAGATTCACCCAGGTCATCCAGTGAAAGGGGCAGAGCCAAGACCCAGATCCTGAGGTTCTGCTTCTGAGCGCTAACACACCTATCAACTTTCCTCAGCTGATTTATGAGGCTAGGCTTGCTAGGGTGAACTAAAAAGCTGTGTGTGACATGGGCTTCCTGAATGCTGGCTCACTCTCTTCTCTAGCTGCTCATATTATAAAAGCAGAGGACTTGGACCATTAATACCCATTTCTCATTTCCTCAGCTGGAAAAGGAGAGATGAACCAAGTAATGAGGAAAACATGGTGCCAAATCCAGTGTTTTGTGAAGTGACAAGTCAGTCCCACTTGGGATTAAGTAAAAGGACATTCAAGCTGTGTATGGTGGCACATGCCTGTAGTCCCAATGACTTGGGAAGTTGAGGCAGGAGAATCAAAATTTCAAGGCCAACCTGGGCAACTTAGTAAGACCCTGTCTCAAAAACTAAAAAAGGCTAGGGGTACGTAGCTTAGTGGTAGAGGACTTGGCCTAGCAGTAGCAAGGTCCTGAATTCAATTTCTAGTACCATAAGGGGTGGGGACTAGTGAAGGTTCTGGAAGATAGATTCCCAGTTTCAATAACGGAAATAATCAGAACTTGCAGCTGGTTGGGAAGCTCAGGCTTCGGGGTTTACCCAGTAGGGTTAGGGAAGGGTCTCCTCCCAGGCTTAGTCTCCCTGCATTCCCTAGACAGGTGTGAGGAGCTGGACCTGTGGTAGAGTAGGACTGCTATCCCATCACACATCTTACCTGAGGTAGTGCTCGGATGGACCTGACACCAGCCTGGTCTTGTTGTGCTGTCTGGACACTGGAGCTGCTGGAGCTGCCTGAGGGAAGCTGGAGGCAGGCATGGACTACCAGTTTTCTCTGAAAGCTGTGTATACCCACAGCTGCATTGGCCAGGACTAGTCCTAGAGGCCAAAGCCGGATTATTGCCCCTAGGAGCCTGGTCTGCATTGGGGGCAGTGGAGAGGAGTTCGGGGAACCATGAGCTTGGGAAAAGTGTTTTTCTTCCAAACCATCCAGTTCTTTAGAAGCAAGGAAGGCCATTCTGATCTTAAAAAGAAAAAAAAAAACTTTTTTTAAACTTTAGATTTCTCTAGTCCTTTTTTTTGGGGTGGGGGGAAAGACAGCGGTGGGGGGGTACCAAGGATTAAACCCAGGGGTGCTTAACCACTGACCCTAGCCCTCTTTATACTTTGAGACAGGGTCTTGCTAAGTTGCTGAGGCTGGCTTTGAACTTGGGATCCTCTTGCCTCAGCCTACTGAGCCACCAGGATTACAGGCGTGCACCACTATGGCTGGCTTTCTAGTTCTTTTAATGGAAAATACAAACCAAACTATTTTTAATAAATCAGTTTAACAAGATGAATTGAAGGTACCTGATGTGAACAGCTGGATGCCAAGAACTAGAAGGGGTCCATGTGGCAGAAAGTAAGGCAGTTGCATAAGCAACAGCCTTTCTGATAGGCCATAGAAGTTATGCATTTAAAGTACACAAATTCATGGTTTAGTATGTTCCAGGAGTTAAACTCATGCCACTGTTTATCATCACTACCACCACGGGAGGAGCTGCCTCTGCCTGTCTTGCACAGGAGGAACACAAGGCTGAGAGGCTGAACATCCTTTCCGACACTGGCCCCCACCCCCATTCCCACCCACTTGGGTCAGGTGCCAGAATCTGTGAGCTGCCCACCCTGACTTCTCAAGTCGTACTCACTCTCCACTTCTGCCATGCGTGCTTGATGACTGTGGCTGCTGTGTGCAGCCTCTGGATGTGTTTCCGAGTTAACCAGGAACGAACGGCTAAGAGGTTTGCCCAGAAACAGCAGAGAGACAACAATGGTCATTAGAGCACTTGGCAACCTGGCTGTGCCAAAACATCAGAAATGCGTTTTATCTGAAGTATTGGTTACCATGTATTATAGAATATATGAAAGTCAACACATGAAGCAAAATGGGCTTGTTTTTCCCTGCTAGTACTGGGAATTAAACTCAGGGGTACTTTACTACTGAGCTGTATCCCCAACCCCATTTTATTTTTATTAAAAAATTTTTTTTGTAGTTGTTGATGGACAGAATGCCTTTGTTTACTTTTATGCGGTGGTGAGGATCAAACCCAGTGCCTCACACTTGCTAGGCAAGTGCTCTGCCACTGAGCTACAGCCCCAGCCCTCAGCCCCCAGCCCCCAGCCCAATTTTAAATGTTGAGACATGATCTTGCTAAATTGCCCAGCTGGTTTAGAGTTTCAATCCTCCTGTGTGGCTGGGATTATGGGCACATGCCACTGCACCTGGCTCAAAATGGGTTTTTAAAAACATTTCACACAATGGTGGAATGAGATGGACAAATATCATTACTTAGACTGCACATATGGTGTGATGCTACATCATGTACAACCAGTGAAATGAAAAGTTGTGCTACAATTGTGTACAATAAATCAAAATGCATTCTGCTGTCATATATACCTAATTAAAATAAATTAATTTGAATTAAAAAAAAAACTTTATACTTAGAGCCTACACACTCAGTGATACTTGGGAGGCTTTGACTGGCCAGGCCCAGAAGGATCACCTCCATCTCATACTCAATCCCTGGCAATGCCAGGAATGGGAGGGTTTTGGATCATTTGTACCTTTTAAAATATTTGTTTTGGGCTAGGGTAGAGCACTTAGCCTAGCATACACGATGCCCTGGGTTCCATCCCTGGTGCTGCAAACAGGAAAAAAAGTCTCTTTAAAAAAAAAAAAAAAAAATGAGAATGGTACTACATGCCTGTAATCCCAGTGATCTGGGAAGCTGAGGCAGGAGGATTACAAGTTTGAGGCCAGCCTTGGCAACTTAGACTGTCTCAAAACAAAAAAATAAAAATGGATGGGGATGTAGCTCAGTAATAAACTGCCCCAGGTTCAATCAATATTTACTTATTTATACTAAATAAATGGATAAATTTTTAAAAAAATCCTCAAATTTTCTTGCTTGCTTTGAGTGTAAGATACAACATCATCATATGCCCAAATGCTGATAAAATTAATTACTGGCTGGTTTCAGCATATTCTAATTTCTTTTGGTATGATTATATAGAGAACAAAGGATACTCCATTAAATAGCATTAAAAAAAACTTTAAAGACAAATATAAAAATCACCTGTTATCTCCCCAATCCAGAGAGTTCTACAGTATTTATTTACCTTTACAGTTCTTTTTATGCCTCTATACATAAACACACCTTACAAGGGATCATCCTTAATCTATAGTTTAATATCCAGGAAGTGGTGTTCCAATAAGTGTATAATAGTCCTCAAAAACATTTGCTGTGTCATAGGGATGATCCATAATTTAGCCATTTGGGCTATTTCTACCATTTTTTCAAAATAAGACTGGTATGAATCTTTTCTTTTGATGAATCAAATGCTGTCACTTTTACCTTCTTCCAAGCCCTGCAGCCTAGCAGGTATTGATTTACGAAAAAGGAGCGAAAAAGACAGTGGCATAAACAGCTATATTGGCTGAGAAAAGGGAACTGAAGGCAAACGTTTAGCCTAGGTAGGAACGATTTGGTTTCCATTAACCTGCGGACTCTGGGCGAGGTGCACAGGGGGTTCAAATCCTAGGGCACCCAGGGTTTGCCATCCACCTACCTGCCTGAATGAGGGTGGCAGCTCGCCTCTGCCTCTTCTGCTTTCTATGCTGGTGTTGTCTCCAGCCACACTGGATGCAGCGGGCACACTGCTCCAGCACC